ATGGACAGAGAGAAGTGTTTGGTGGTTACCAGGGGCAAGGGGGGTTGGAGAGTGGGCACAAGGGGTGAAGCAGTGCATTTATATGGTGACTGACAAACAATAATGTACAACTAAAATTTCACAATAAAGAAAAAAAATCTCTCACAGATAAAAAGGCAGGATCAGAAATAAAATTCTTTGCCTGGGATTTACCTCAAAATCAGGGAGTTGAGGGGAGTGGATGGAGGTATAGATGAGACCTAATTGGCCGTGTTTTGATACCTGTTGAAGCTGGGTAATGAGTACACAGAGTTCACAGTATTTCCTACGAGAAGCGAAAAGCATAGGACTTGGTCATTGCTTTGGATGCACGTAGGAGGGAGTGTAATCCTAGCACACTTGATGGGTTATATAGTAAATAATATTTATCTAGTCATAAGTACTGTTAATTGCTTTTCAAATTTTAGAATTTACTCAAGTGCTAAGAGTTACAGTAATAATAACTAAGAGTTGAGTATTATGAGCAGGCTATAAATATTATCTTTGATAAAATAAAATTAAAGTTATACACTAGGATTGGTGAAATACAGCTTGCCGTCTGTTTTTGTGAATAAAGTTGTATTATGGCACAGCCGTGCTCATGCATTGGCGTGTTGTCTGTGGCTGCTTTCATCTTATGATGACAGAGCTGAGTACTTGCCACAGAGACCTGTGGCTCTCAGTGCCTAAAATACTCACTATTTGATTCTTTACAGAAATGTTTACCAATCTTTGGTATAGACAGATTGCAGAGTGAATGGCAGGGTTGCAGAGAGGTTATGAGAAGAGAAGGGCTAGCCCCATGACACGCTTAGCTCTGCAGAAAACGGTACTAGCACAGTCCTAATGTGATGTCTGATGTAATCATGTAAACTGTTGGTTTTGAACATTTAGAATTGTCCTATAGAGAACCGTTACTGTAAAAGTAAAGGTACAAATGATAGGAGTTGAGAAGTAGGACGAGACAGGAGCAATGAGGGAAGGCATGGCCCCTAATGTTCTTGTCTCACCAAGAAGGTTGTCAAGAACGACTTCTGTGGGGCAACAGTCATTACTTGGCTGGCTCCTTCTTGTCATCCAATCTCAGCTCAAAATCACCTGATTTACTCATCATAAAATATTTATTGGGCACTTAGATGTGCCAAGTACTAAATTAGGCCTCCCTGGGAAGGCCTTCCATGTCAGCCAGTCTAAAGTCGTCATGCAGTCTCTCCTGTCATTCTTATTTTAACCCTCTGCATAGCACCTTTCACTCTAGTTTTTGCATGTATTTATTAATTTACTTTCTTGTTTTATGTGATTTTCTTTTGTTTATATATTTACTATGATTTATTTTGAATATAGTACAAATAGGAATAAGAACTTTCTCTGCTTTATTCATCATGGTATCCCTTGCACCTAGAAAATTGCAGTGGTTCCTAGCATGTAGTAGGCACACAATGAATATTTGAGTGAGTGAATGAATGGGCAGGTGATTGAGTGAAATGAGTCAGTGAGCAGTTGTTTAAAATTGCAGAGGTTACCAGTGAAGGAAGCAAGAATAGTGATATAACTATATTTGTGGAAAGGAGAAATGGCATTAGTTGCTGTAATTTCACATGTCAGAGGAGAGAGTCACTAGATAATGTCTAAGGTTGATAAGAAGTAGTGGTGTATATCATATTATTTAGAGATGTAAACTGACAACCAAAAGCAACAAAATTAGGAACAGTTAAAACTAGTTATCTCTTGGGAACGGAAAAACTCAACAGGAAACTGCAGCCTTTCATTATAAGCCCTTTGTCTTATTTGATTTTTTTTTCTTAAATCGTATCTGTGTATTATTTTTAATTACTCTCCTTTTTCTATGTGTATGAAAAGGATTTCTACCAAATATATTGAATTAAAACATTTTAGCAACATTTGCTAGTCTGATAAGTCTAGTATTAAAGTTTTGCATTACACACTTGGCCTTCATATAAATTGACCATATACCAGGCTATAAAGCTATTCTCAATAAAAGTCAAAGAATCTGTGTCTTTTAGATCATGCTCTCCAACCAAAGTGCAATTAAAATTAGAAATTAGTAGCAAATAAATGAGTTTTTAAAGTTTAAATTTTAAAGCCTTAAATGTTTACAGTCACGTTCCGCATAACGACATTGCAGTCAACAACAGACTGCACATACGACAGTGGTCCTGTAAGGTTAGTACCATGTGGCCTAGATATGTAGTAAGCTATACCATCTAGGTTTGTGTAAGTACACTCTATGATGTTTGCACAATGACGAAATTTGCCTAATGACGCATTTCTCAGAAGTATCCCCATCACTATGCGAAGCATGACTGCATTTTAAAAGAAGAGTAGAAGTGAATGAAATAGGCCAGTGTGGCATCAAATAGAGCCGCTGCTTTGTTCTGAGAAAAGACTCATGCATCTATGGAGATCTGACAAATTATAGAGCTAGCATTTTAGATCCATTCATTTACTCAGCACACATTTACTGAGCACCCACTATGTACCATCCACTGGTCTAGTTGCTGTAGAGACAGTGAAGATGGGAGGAACAATACAGAAATAGATAAAACATACCTGCCCCCAAGGTGCTTACGTTCTAGTAAAGAAGACAAATAATAAAATAAAAATACAGTCTGTTATGTTGTGATAAGTATTCTAGAGAAAAATAAAGCAGGGAAGGTAGGGAGTACAGGGTGAGAAGAATTAGTTTTAAATTGGGTAATCAAAGGCTCACCAGAGAAGGTGACATGTTAGTAAAATCCTAAACAGGTTAGAGCAGCAAGCGTCCCAGATTTCCAGAGGAAGAGCATTACAGGGTAAGTGCAGAGGCCCTGAGGTGGGAGTGTGACTGCTGTTTTCATGAAACAGGAAGAAGATGAGGATGGCAGCAGTAGAAGGGAGCGTGGGAAGAGGAAATCAGTCTGGAGAGGACTTGATAAGCCTTGTAAAGACTGACTTTGCGTAAATGGAAGCCATTGGAGGATTTTAAGCAAAGTTGTCCTTTGATCTGAGTTTTGTTTTAATGGATTATTGTGGTTTCTGTGTGGAGAATAGACTAAAGGGAGGCAAGGGCCAAATCAAGGAGACTATAATTAAGAGGCCATTGTGATAATTCAAGCAAAAAATTATGTTGGCTTAGGTCAGAATTTATGAGTGGTCAAAGTATGTTTGAATGTAGAGCCAATGATACTGGCTGACACATTGCATGTGGGTGTGAGAGATGTTAAGGATTATGACTGAGCAACAGGAGGGATAGAATTACCATTTACTGAAATGAGAAGGACTGTGGAAGAATGGGGGTAGAGTAGGGAGTAATTAAGAGTTCCACTTGGACAATTTAAATTTGAGATGCCTATTAGACATCCAAGTGGAAGTGATACCCAGTTCAGGGTTCTAGGCTGGAAATACAAATGTGCAGTGAAATGTGCAGTGCGTTGCAGGGAATAAATGGTGTTTACAGCTGTGAAACTGGAAGCCATCACTGTATTTAGGGGAAAAAAGCAGGGGCCGGCCCTGTGGCGTAGTGGTTAAGTTCAGGCACACTCCACTTCGGCGGCCCGGATTCAGTTCCCCGGGCGTGGCCCTACACCACTTGTTGGCAGCCATGCAGTGGCAGCGACCCACATACAAAATAGAGGAAGATTGACACAGGTGTTAGCTCAGGGTGAGTCTTCCTAAGCAAAAAAAAAAGGAAAAAAAGCTGTGGGGTACTCCAATGGCAGGAAAATAAAGAGGAATTGATTAAGGAGAAGAGAAGGCAAGACTAGTGAGTTGGTACAGAAGGAGAGTAAGAAGTCCTGGAAGCCAAATGAAGAAAACACTTTAAGGAGGAGGATGTGATCAGTTGTGTCAAATGTTGTTGATAGATTGTAGTGATGTGGAGGTCAGCAGTTACCCTGAGGAGCAATTTTGGTGAAATGGTAGGGCCAGTGGCCCAACTAGAAGGAGTTCAAAAGAAAATGGGAAATGGAGAAGGAGAATTAGAAATGGCAGGCAACTTTCGTTTTTACAGCTTTATTGAGATATAATGGACATCAGTAAACTGCTCATGTATAAAGTGTACAGTTTTGATGCATGTCATGTGTATAAACATGTGAAACCATCACCCCCAAGAGTTTCCTCATGACCCTTTGTAATCCCCCTCCAGTCCCCTGCTCTGCCTTCTGTCACTACAGATTAGCTTGTATCTTCTAGAAGTGTATATAAAAGGAATCATACAGTGTATACTCTTTTTTGTGTGGCTCCTTTCATTATTTTGAGATTCATTCGTGTTGTCATTATCAATGGTTCATTCTTTTTTTTTGCAAAATAGTATTCTATTATATGGATATACTACAGTTTATTTGTCCATTCACCTGTTGATGAACATTTGTGTTGTTTCTAGTTTTTCTCTATTACCATTGAAGCTGCTATAAACGTTCTTTGTAAGTCGTTGTGTGGACATAGGCTATTTTTTTCTCTTGAGTAAATAAGTACCTAGGAGTAGATTGGCTGGGTCATGTGGTAGTTACATGTTTAATTTTTTAGGAAAATGCAAAACTTTTTTTTCCAAAGTCCTTGCAACATTTTACGTTCTCACCAGAAGTGTATGTGACTTCCATTTGTTCTGTATCTTCGCCAGCACTTGGTACAGCCAATCTTTTTTAATTTTAGCCATTCTAGTGGGAGTGTATTGGTATAGCATTGTGGTTTTAATTTGCATTTTCTTAATGACTAATCATGAGTATCTTTTTGTGTGCTTAGTTGCCATCTATATATCTTCTTTGATGAACTGTCTTTTCGGATATAAAATAAAGAACGATTTCTTGCTTACTCTTACATATTGCTCTGCTTGTGCAATATTCCAAAATAATGTGAATGTTTAAAGTAGAGGTTGATTGTACTTTGTTAAAAACAGGCTTTAATTCATAATGAGAATTCACAAGTGATTATGATGATGCCAGTGTGTTGGAGGAAGTAACTACTGTCTTCCCATATTCTTACAGGTTGCAGCATTGCAGGAGGAGAAAAGTAGTCTGTTGGCAGAGAATCAGATATTAATGGAAAGACTTAATCAGTCAGATTCAATAGAAGACCCTAACAGTCCAGCAGGAAGGAGGCATCTGCAGCTCCAGACTCAATTAGAACAGCTCCAAGAAGAAACTTTCAGGTAAAAGACCACTCACTAAAATCTAACTTTTATAACTTTGGTAACTCTTTTAAAGTTAAGAATTATAGTGTTAGGACTTCTGGGGAGCTGCAGACCAAGGAGGCTGTGTAATAAACAACTTCCCAAAATCTTCCCAAATAACTTCACGTCTAGGAAAAGTTCTGTTAAAGCTGTACTTCAATATTACTTGAAGACACTGTGCCCCAACTGAAATATAACAGTGCGTGAGAGGAAGAAAGCAAGCAGCAGCCCCACAGCCACACACCTGCCCCACCCCCGTTCTGCCGTGCACTTGGAGGCAAGGAAAGGCAGGCGGAGAAAAAAAATAGAAGACAGAAGAAGAACACTAGGGGCCTGTGGGTGAGTTGGAGCCATCACCAGAAAGATTTAGTTCACTCAAAATCTGAAATTACTTTTAAAACAGAAAAGGAGATTAGACCACAAACTTCAGGGAAAGGATTTCAGAGGAAGTGCATCTTTGTAAAGGACCAGACATCATAAAAAGGTACAGGCACTGAATTAAAGAGACTAATGCCCTTTCCAGGCTTGGGGTTTAGAGACATAATACCAAGACCAGGTGCATGATTTATAGAGACAGATTTCTACACACGTCTTCTGGGAGAGGAACGGCCAAAAGAAAGGAAGAAGGGCCCTTTGCCAATTGGATGGTGAAAGAGTAAAGAAGAAAAGGAAAAATTTGGTGTCTTATAAGACAAAATAGAACTACAAAATTGGCAGACTTAGCAGGATGAGAAAATATAATATGACCTGTTTCTTTTCTTTTTTTTAAATTATTTTATTGAGGTCACATTGGTTTATAACATTGTGTAAATTTCAGGTGTACAGCATGATATTTTGACTTCCTTATAGACTGCATCGTGTTCAACACCAAAAGTCTAGTTTCCATCCATCACCACACAAATGTCCCCTTTTACCCCATTCGCCCTCCCGCAACTCCCTTCCCCTCTGGTAACCACCAATCTGTTATCTGTATCTATGTGTTTGTTTACCTTCCACATACGAGTGAAATCATATGGTATTTGGCTCTCCGTCTGACTTATTTTGCTTAGCGTAATACCCTCGAGGTGCATCCATGCTGTTACAAATGGCAAGATTTCATCTTCTTTATGGCTGAGTAGTATTCCATTTTATATATATACCACAACTTCTTTATCCATTCATCTGTTGATGGGCACTTAGGTTGCTTCCAAGTCTCAGCTATTGTGAATAATGCTGTGATGAACATAGGGGTGCATATATCTTTTTGAATTAGTCTTCATCTTCTTTGGATAAATACCCAGAAATGGAATAGCTGGGTCATATGGTATTTCTATTTTTAATTTTTTGAGGAATCTCCATGCTATTTTCCATAGTGGCTGCACCAGTTTACCTTGGTATGAGAGTTCCCGTTTCTCCACATCCTCTCCAACATTTGTGATTTCTCGTCTTTTTAATAATAGCCATTCTGATGGGTGTGAGGTGATATCTCATTGGAGTTTTGATTTGCATTTCCCTAGTGATTGGTGATGTTGAACATCTTTTCATGTGCCTGTTGGCCATCTGTATATCTTTGAAAAATTGTGTTATGACCTGTTTCTTAGCTAGCCATAGATTTTCAGTGTTAAAACAGTAATAGAAATTAAATATTAATTAGATTTTTACTTTATCAAGTAACTTTGTATGGTAGTGTATCAACTGTCCTTTGTTATTCCTCAATGAAATGTCTCTGGATTTTATTTATTTATTTATTTATTTTTTTGCCTTAACAGGAAAAAATTAAAAACTTCTCAGAAACCCTAGGAACAATCCATCCCCTATGGTCTACATCAGTGGTTCAGAGTGTGGTCCAAGGACACCCACAGGTTCACTGAGACCCTTTGAGAGAGTCTTCAAGGCCCTCTCTTTTCCAGCTGCATATTTGTGTAAGACTGGATTTCCTCCTTATACTTCAGCCAAAAAATGTCACCACAGATGAATGTAGAAAGAGAGATGAGAACCCAGCTGTCCTCTATTAAACTAGCTATTTGAATCGCAAAAATGCAAAACTGTGCCACTCTTCTCACTTTTTGTTTTAGAAAATATGGTTAGGGCTGGCCTGGTGGCATAGTGGTTAAGTTTGCGCCCTCCACTTCAGTGGCCCAGGGTTCACAGGTTCAAATTCCAGGCGCGGACCTAGGTACCACTCGTCGAGCCATGCTGTGGCAGCATCCCACATACAAAAAATAGAGGAGGATGGGCATGAATGTTAGCTCAGGGCCAGTCTTCCTCAACAAAAAAAAAAAAGGAAGATTGGCAACAGACGTTAGCTCAGGGCCAATCTTCCTCACCAAAAAACAAAAAGAAAGAAAATACAGTTATTTTTCATAAATGATATTTTGTCTCTATTAACATAATAGGCGTATTACTGTTATTTTCAAATGAACTAAGTACTTGTGTTTAGATTTTTCTGTTTTGATTTCTTATATGATAAATATCAATAGATAAAACCTACATAAGCAAAAGTTCTTTTGAATCTCAGTAATTTTAAGAGTGTAAAGGAATCCTGAGACCAAAAAGTTTGAGAACCCTTCATCTGCATCTTGACTTTGTAGGACAGAGTAAAAGTTAAGTATGACTTTACCCTTTTGTTTCTAAATCGTGACTAGTTTTTTTTGTGTGTGTGTGTGTGAGGGTGATTAGCCCTGAGCTAACATCTGCCAATCTCCCTCTTTTTGCTGAGGAAGACTGGCCCTGTGCTAACATCCATGCCCATCTTCCTCCACTTTATATGGGACGCCGCCACAGCACGGCTTGCAAAGCTGTGCGTTGGTGCTCCCCTGGGGTCCGAACCAGCGAACCCCGGGCCGCCACAGCGGAGCGCACGCGCTTAATCGCTTGCGCCACCGGGATGGCCCCATGACTGGTTTTTTTTTTTTGTTTTGTTTTTTTTGTTTTTTTTTTTAAAGATTTTATTTATTTATTTTCCCCCCAAAGCCCCAGTAGATAGTTGTATGTCATAGCTGCACATCCTTCCAGCTGCTGTACGTGGGACCCGGCCCCAGCATGGCCGGAGAAGCGGCGCGTCGGCGCGCACCCGGGATCCGAACCCGGGCCGCCAGCAGCGGAGCGCACGCACCCAACCACCAAGCCACGGGGCCGGCCCTCATGACTGGTTTTTAAAGTATGATTTTGGGGAACTGGTATTTAGAACTGTCTTACATTTTCCATATAAAGGAAATAATGTCTAATGCTTTTATTATTCCAGTTACATATTGCAATACTACGTTTTGAGGTACTTTAACAATTTAAATATTTTATCAGTACTATATATTTATATATCTCAGTATTTTTTATTATTATTTATAGTCAGATGTAATATAATACTTCTGGCTCATCTTTATTATGACATTGTACCTTCATTTTTTTTTTTTTTAGCATTGATGGCTTTTAAGATTCTAGTCCCATGGATTATTTGTTAATTACGAAGGCGACAGTGTACCTTTTTAATGGAGAGATCTAGCAGTTATCACCTTAACCAAATCATCAAACTTAGCAGCACCACCACTGGGATAGGGTACCCTGACATTATGTGCCTCATGACATGATACTATAAGAAATATACAGCATCACCTATGTAGGATTTTTGCCAAATATTTAACCTGAATCTAATCATGAAGAAATAATCAGAATAAGGGGTATCCTTTAAGATGACCAAGACTACTAAAAAAAAGTCAATGTCATAAAAAACAAGACAGAAAGACAAAAGAGATGTTATGACTAAAGACAATGTGTAACTGTTCATTGGATCCTGGATCAGGGTCGGGAGAGGGAGCTTTAAGACATTTTTACTACAACTGGGGAAATGTAAATATAGTCTACATTTTGGATAATATTATTGAATTAATATTGTCTTAGATATGATAATATTGTGATTATGTAAAAGATTATCCATATTGCTGAGTTATTTGGGAGTGAAGGGTCATGATCTCTGCAGCTTGCTTTCAAATAGTTCTCAAAAACGCGTGTGTATATTTTATGTATGTGTATGTACATGAAGTAAGAGAAAGCATAGGGGGCAAAATATTAACAATAGGTGAATCTAGCAAAGGGTATACAGGTATTCATTGAACTATTCCTTCAAATTGTCTGTAGATTTGAAATATTTAAGAACAAAGTGTTGGAGGAAAAAAAAGTTAAATTCAGTATTTTCGACAGTGGTAACAGTTTGAGCATAAGCATTTACCTCCACTTCCCCCTCCTTTATGTCAAAGCCCACAAAAATAATCTTAAAAAAAGAAAAGTATTAACATCCCATTTATAAATATTCTTTAAATAATCCTAAATAAAATAGTAGTGAATTCAGTTCAGTACTATATTAAAATAAACTTTATCCTAGGATTGTTAACCTGTTGAATATTATTAAATCTGTTACAATAACTATTAAATCTTTTTTTTTTTTTTTTTTTTTTTGTGAGGAGATCAGCCCTGTGCTAACATCCGCCAATCCTCCTCTTTTTTTGCTGAGGAAGATGGCCCTGGGCTAACATCTGTGCCCATCTTCCTCCACTTTATATGGGACGCCGCCACAGCATGGCGGTGCGCGCCCGGGATCCGAACCAGCGAACCCCGGGCCGCCGCAGCGGAGCACGCGCACTTAACCGCTTGCGCCACCGGGCCGTCCCCTATTAAATCTATTTTTATAACTCCTCAATCCATAAGTTAAAGGAGAAAGAAAAGTATAAAATAAGCTTGTGAATATGTGAAATTCTCAATAAAGTTAAGAACAAGATGAGGATGAGTATTAATCTATTTGACTTTTTCTAAACATTCTAAAACTCCTGGCTTTGCCACTTACTAGCTGTGTGACCTTGGGCATGCTTTTACTTTCTCCACTATAAGATGGACTAATAGTATTATCTGTCTTCTAGAATTTTTGTGAGTATTAAATGAGTTAATATGTGTAAAGTACTGAGAATATTGCTGGCACATAGGTGTTATATAGGATTTAGCTGTAATTATTTTCCTAGAAAATGAAATAGGAAAAAGAAATGAGATGAAAATACTGGAAAGAAAAAAAGGAAATGATCATTATTTGTAGATAATATGTTTGTCCATGTAGAAAATATGATCAAATTGACTGAAAAGGCCTTAGACCCAAAACTTTTAATGGAGACAGGGTAACTGTGAAACAATAGGTCATAAACTTCTCTAGCAATAACTAGTTAGCGTCATTAGGAAAAGTTCCGTTTGTAAGTATATAAGTATCTGAAGAATAAAAAAATTTTAAAGTAGTATGAGGGACTTATGTATGAAAACTTCTAAGTTATACATAAAAAATATTTTAGTATATTTAGAGAGAACGTGTTTTTACGTATTTTTAATGGAGCATTGTAAGAATGCCATTTTCTCTTAAATTATTATATAATTTGAACTTGATTCCAATTTGAATTTTATGTTCATCTAAAATTATTAATGAGCAAGAGATTCCCAAAACATTTTGAGAACAAAGTATAATGAGGGAGTACTTGCCATATCCAATGTTGAAATGTTATAAACCTATACTAATTAAAATAGCTTGGTACTGGTGCCGCAAAAATACAGACAAACAATGACACAAATGAAGATCCAGAAACCTATCCAAGTGTATATAAAAACGTGTAATATTATAAAGGTGGCATTTTCTAATCAACAGGGAAAGGTTAAATTATTTGTTAAATGATTTGGGGACAGGTGGTGGATATTTTGGCAGGAAAAATTAGATTCCTACATTCATCATATACCAAAATGAATTGTAGGGAAATGGAAAACTTTAATGTTAAAAATAAAATAAAACATATAAATATTAACAGAAAATATAGGATTAAAAGAAAAGAGTTTTTAATCATACACTAAAAGTGGAAACTATGAAGTGTAAGATTATTACATAAAAATTAACTTCTGTACATTAAATACATAAATAAAATTAAAAGTAAGTAACGGGGCCGGCCCTGTGGCTTAGCGGTTAAGTGCGCGTGCTCCGCTACTGGCGCACACCGGCACACCGCTTGTCCGGCCATGCTGGGGCCGCGTCCCACATACAGCAACTAGAAGGCTGTGCAACTATGACAGACAACTATCTACTGGGGCTTTGGGGGAAAAAATAAATAAAAAAGAAAGTAAGTAACGACAAGTATTTGTGACATGAGAGACAAGTAATCTTGTAAATCAAAAGGAAGGATGTATGTTAAGCAAAACAAATTAAATAGAAAGTAGGAACAGTATTATACATATTTTGAGGGAAAAAGATCTATGAATAGAAATCAGACTGGAGGAAATACTCCAAAAATATTAACAGTAGTTATCTATCTAGATTAATACAGGATTTTTATCTTTACTTTTCTGTATTTTGTAAATTTTCAACAAGGAATATATATTGATTTCATAATCAAAAATAAAACTTTAAATGAATTATATCTGCTGTATTTTAGGAAAATATTGCTTGATGTCTAACTTTCTGAGTAGTGGACTGGTAATCAGTTGTTATCTTTCTACAAGCCTGGAACAGCAGACTCCATTTTCAGGATAGTTAAAACTTGAACTATAGCTTATGGTCACAAAAGTAGGAGACAAATTCAAGAGGGGTTTATTCTCATGTTTTTTTTTTCTTTTACTGTTCTAAGGAGAATGATTAGACAGTAAATAGTGCTTTCTTGATCTTTTTTGTTTGGTTACAGACTAGAAGCAGCCAAAGATGATTATCGAATACGCTGTGAAGAGTTGGAAAAGGAAATCTCTGAACTTCGGCAACAGAACGATGAACTAACCACTTTGGCAGATGAAGCTCAGTCTCTAAAAGATGAAATAGATGTTCTTAGGTAAACAATCTTCGCTTCTCTGTAGAATCTCAGACCTGTCATCACCCAAAACAATTCTTCTGCCAGTGTGACAAACTCAAGGATCTCTGAGCATAGCAGTGTGAGAGCCAGACCACCTGGGTTCAGATCCCAGTGCTACCATGTATTTAACTTCCATGTAACCATTTTCTCATCTGTAAAATGGAAATAATACACACCTATTCTCAGATTTATATGTGGAATTAAGTGAGGTTATATTTGTAAACACTGGGAACAGTATCTGGCAAATAATTGCTATATAAATGTTTGTTAAATAGAAATTAATCTCTGACCGTCACTTCATACTTGTATAGCTCTGGAGCTTTTCTTATTACTACTCCTGATCTTTAGTTTTGAGTCCTCTAGTCACTTGGTCTTCCTTTTTCTCCAATACTGTCACACCCCACAAGCCTTCATTTCCTTGCTGGAACTTTTTGTCTTCGCCTCAACTATTCTCTCACTAGGCGCCTCACTCCCTGCCACCTCATTTTCCCACTACTCCATTTCTTGTGTAATCTGTCCTCTGTTGGATCATTTCAGCCGTCTTTTACACTTCTCCGCTTTGAATGCTGAGAATGAATAGAGAAGAATCACGTAGTGATGTAGTTTTGTCCTACCACAGATTAATAATCTTGACTCTTCACTGCGTTCTTACCACTGATCCACCATTCTTTTGCTCGTTAATAGGTAGCTCCATCTCCTGTTTCTCTCGTAGCTGTTACACATTTTCATAACTCTTCTCACCTGAATGCCCACCCACCACCCCTCTCCCATGCCTTAGTCTCAGTAGAAGACATTGTCTCCCACTGCACAGAGGAAAGAGGTGCTGTGGACCTCTCCACATCCTGTATCTGCACCTCCAACCTTCCCTGCATTCTCACCCATCTTTTCTTTTTTGCTTCTAGACCGTAGACTTGTTATTCTTCCTCCTATTCAGTACTAATTCCTTCTTCAGTGCTCTGGGTCTCTAGCCTTCTTGCCCACACAGAGACTGTGTTATATCAGTTATCATTTCTCTTCACATTTTGAATCTCCCTCCTTAGCATATATTTGTTTAGGTCTCTCTCATCTTAGATTAAGAGAGAGACTTACTACTCTCTCCTTCCCTCCAGAACAAATTAGATTACACAAGGTAAAATTTACATTCTCTCTTTAACCCCCTAAAATTTGCTACCATCTGCCCCCACTGCTCCACTGAAACAGTTGTTCCTGTGGTCACTAATAACATTCAAATTGCCAAATCACTTGAACACTGCACAATTCATTTTGCTTTTATGCTACATGTGACTCTGCTGGCTACCCTACCTACTTGCTTTCCTTAAAGTATATAATATTGTCTATTACAAATTTTGCTATAATTTTGGTCATATTTTTTAACCTGAGCAAAAATTTAACCTAGAATCACCTTTGGTCTTATAATTTCATTAGAACATGTTATTTCCTGGCAGTTCCTCTTGGTTTAGCACTATCTTAAAGAGCTTTACAACTGTGGATGTCTTCCTGATTTCTGATTTCCCATCTTATTCTAGACATTCTTCTGATAAAGTTTCTAAACTAGAAGGCCAAGTGGAATCATATAAAAAGAAGCTAGAAGATCTTGGTGATTTGAGGCGGCAGGTTAAACTCTTAGAAGAGAAGAATACTATGTATATGCAGAACACTGTCAGTCTAGAGGAAGAGCTAAGAAAAGCCAATGCAGCTCGAAGTCAACTTGAGACATATAAGCGACAGGTAAAATAGTAACAAAGTTTCTAAATAACGTTTTCAAGCAAGCTCTGCATTATATCGCTATGGCTTACCAAAAATCTACTGACTTTTGTTTTCACGGTATTCTATTTTTTACCTATGAAACTTAGTTCTTATCCAGAGGTTATCGATTGGTCTCTATAGCAGATCCTTTTATTGTTTTTTATTTTTTAATTTATTATGTAATACTTAAGAACTACACAAAAGTAAAAGAATAATACAATAGATATCCATGCTTAAAAAATAAAACATACTATTCCCCTCTTCATTACAGTAACCACTCTGCTGTTTTGTGATTTTCATTCTCATGCATCTTTATTCTTTAGCTGCATGTATATATTTATTCAGAAATATATATATAAAATTTATTTTTTGATATGTTTCAAAACTATATAAATGATATAGTGAAAGGGCTCTTCTGCAATTCACTTATGCTCAGTATATTTGTGAGATTTGTGTATGTTGATCAGTATAGCTTATTCCATTCATTTGTACTGCTGTATAGTTTACTGTTGAGTGACTATACCACAGTTTATCCATTTCTCAGTTGAAGGGCATATAGGATGTTTCAACTTTTTTTTTTTTTTTTTTTCAATTTTTTTTGTGTGTGTGTGAGGAAGATTACCCTCGAGCCAACACCTGTTACCAATCCTCTTTTTTGCTGAGGAAGATTGGCCCTGGACTAACATCCGTTCCCATCTTCCTCTACTTTATACGTGGGATGCCTGCCACAGTGTGGCTTGGTGAGTGGTGTGTAGGTCTGTGCCCGTATCCAAACCTGCAAACCCCAGGCCACCAGAAGCAGAGCGTGTGAACTCAACCACTACGCCATCAGCCTGGCCCCTCAACTTTTTTTATATTTCAAGAAATGCTACTATGAATAGAATTGGACATAACTTCTTCTACACACATCTGAAAGTTTTACACCTATATGGAATTTCTTCCTTAGAGTATCTTCATTTAATTAGATACGGCCAAATTGTCCTCCAGAGTGATTGTGTTACCAAGAAGAAGTTTGTGTGAGTTCCTGATGCTCTACATCATCACCACCACATAACACTGCCAGACCTGCAATTTTGCCAATTGGGTGGACATGAAATGGTGTCTCATTATGATTATACTTTGCACTACCCTAATTACAGATATATTTACTGATCACTTTTTTTTGTGAATTGCCTGTTTTTATCTTTTATTCATTTTTAAAATTGGATTATTATTATTATTGATTTCTGAAAGTTTTTTGTATATTCTTTATATTAATCTTTTGTCACTTAGACATGTTGCAGTTATTTCCCACCAATCTGTGACCTGTCCTTTTATTTTTTTTGAGATTGATAATTTTAATGTAATGAACTTTAAGTATCTTTTTCTTTATGATTTGTGCTTTTTATATCTGGTTTAAGAAGTCATTTCCTACATAAAGATGTAGGACTAGTCTCTATTTTCCTAATAAAGATTTAAAGCTTGCTTTGAACATTTAGGTCTTCAGTCCACATGGAACTGGTTTCTGTGTAGGTGTGAGGTTAGGGATCCGTTTGATACCTTTGTCTGTGGGCAGCCAGTCAGCCTGGCAGCGTTTATTTAGTAGTCTCTTCCACGGTGACCTGCAGTTCTACCTCATATCTGAAGTTCCCGTGTTATGTGTTGGTTTGCTTCTGGGCACTCTCTTCTGTTTCTTTGGTCTGTTGTTCTATATTACACCGATACCCTACTGTCTTACTATTTATAGATTTTTAGTGATTTTGATATTTGGTAGTGCAGACACCCGCACCTTGTTCTATTTCAAAATTGTCTGTTCTTAAACCTTTATACCCAGAACTTTTGGGAATTGGAATTACATTGAATTTGTTGATTAATTTGGGGAGAATTGACATCTTTATGACAATGAATGTTCCTGTCAGTGAATATAATATCCTTCCATTTGTTTAGGTCTTTGGTGTCTTTCAATTAATTTTTATAATTTTTTTTCTAAATATCGCACACATATTTTGTTATATTTATTTTTAGGTACTTTATGTATTTGGTTTTTGTAATGCAATTAGAAAAAGAAAGGATACCGTTTTCCGTTTTCAGTTCGTTGCTCATTTATATGATTGAAATTGATTTTTTTACATTGATTTTGCAACCTTGCCAAATTCTCATATTGCTTCTAATAATGTCTGTAGGATCTCTTGTCAGAAGTCATACGGTGTACAAATAAAAGCAGTTTCCTTTTTCTTTATACTCTATACCCTTGTTTTCTTCTTTTTTTTTTTAAAGATTTTATTTATTTTATTTTTCCCCCCAAAGCCCCAGTTGACAGTTGTATGTCGTAGCTGCACATCCCTCCAGCCGCTGCATGCGGGACTCGGCCCCAGGATGAACGGAGAAGTGGCGCCTCGATGCGCACCCGGGATCCGAACCCGGGCCACCAGCACCGCAGCGCGCGCACTCAACCACCAAGCCACAGGGCCGGCCCCCTTGTTTTCTTCTTAATCAGCATTCTAACCTTTAATACAACTTTGAATAGAAGCTATAATAGTAGGCAACCATTTCTCGTTGATTTCATACAGAATGCTTTAAAATTTTTACCAGTGTATTTTAAGGATTCCTCTAGGTTTTTGTAGCTACCTCTTATTAGGATAAAGAAATTCCATTGTATTCCTAATTTGCTTAGGGTTTCTATCTTAAAGCGATGTTGAATTTAATCAACTACTTTCCCTACACCTGTTGAGAGACTCCTATGCTGCTTCTCCTTTCTATTAAGGTGGTGAATTATATTAATGGATTTTCTATGCTTAAACAACATCCTTGCATTCCTGAGATAAACTTCATTTGGTTACAGTGGATTTATTATTTGTTTTTGCCTTGTTAGATTTGCTTTGATCTTTTTACTTAGAGTATTTTGCCTCTATGATTCACTTGAAGTTTTCTATCTCATACTTTCCTTATCTGATTTTGGCATCAAAATTATACTAGCTTAGTAAAATGAGCTGGAGAAGTTTTAGTGGAACAGCCCTGTACACTCTGAATGGCAGGGTTTTTTTGGTGGGTACATTTTTTTCCCAACATTTTATTATGGAATTTTTCAACAGACAACAAAGTTGAAAGAATTAGTAAACTTGAATACGGACTGAGAAATTATCCAAAATAAATGTAGCCCAAAGAAAATATAAATGAGATTAAAAGGTATTAAATTAAAATGAGAAATGATCTAATTAGAGTTCCAGAGGAGAGAACAGAAAGAATTGTAGGAAGACATTATTTGAAGGAAAGGATGGCTGAACGTTTTTCAGAACCAATAAAGGACATCAGAGTTAGTGTTAACATTGAATTACAAACAAAATAAGTAAAAAGAAATCTCCATCTAGAAATATTATAGTGAAATTACATAATATAATAATTCTCTCTACCTGTTTCTGATCTGGAGCTTAATATATTTTATTTTTTAACGATAATGTTTTTCTTCCTACAGGTCCTCTTTGGGTGCTCTATCAAACCTGTCTGATTCTTTTTGGTGGTCTCTTACTCCTTTCATAATTTAGATTTTCTTCTTTATTTTCTTTAAGTATTAAACCTAGTGTTTGATACCTGATCATTCCAATCTGAAATCCTTGGAGGTCTTATTCTACTATTTTGTTGTTATTGCTGTTAATGCTTTTCTGCTGACTGTTGTTCATAGTGGCTTATTTCTTTATGGCTTTTGTAATTTTAGATTTTGCTCTTTCATTTGGCTCATCTTTATCTTTGGAAATACTGGGGGGCCTGTGTTGAGGTTGTGTTCCTCCTCCAGACAATGTGTTTTTTGCTTATGCAGATTTTCCACAGCATTACCAACCAGGACTACTTTAAATTAATTGCTTGTCTTAGGATTTGCCAGACAAGGCATGTGGTAAAAAGTCAAACACAAATTCATGTATTAGCAGGCCATCGCTACAGATTTTCAAGTTACACTTTTTTAAACCCAGAGCACTTACTTTAAAACAAATTCCATATTGATTTTTTTTCCAGCTGACGGATTTTTTTTTTCCCTAACCCACCTGTTTGCTGACTCACTACCTTTTAGAGGCCATGGAAGTTTACCACCTGTCTCTCGTTAAATTCAAAGCTCTACATTCCTGGTATTTGCAATTGGCGCCTCAGTGTACCCATAGCCTCCACCCAAACTTCCCGCTCCAGTTTTAGCCCCTGAGGATTTCCCTTACTTTCTTGTAAGCTTGACTATGCAATTAGATTTGTTTCCCCTGGCATTTCTTTTGTTTTATGCTAAAAGGGTTTCAGATTATGCAGTTATTTGTATTACAGGAAATGGAAATCCTATAGGTTCTTTTATAATTTTGAACAGTGTTACTCTGGATGATCTGGTTTCAAAACCCATAGTATCTGGGCAGAGTTTTGTTCCTAGTTCTCTCTTTGGGTTAGGCTGCTATATCATGTATATTTTTTGAGTATTTGATGAGGGGGACGTTTTCATAGATCTGTAGAAGAAAATAATGATAACTTCTAACATTTCAAATTACAAAAATTAATGATACCTTTCTGTATCAGGTAGTAGAACTGCAAAATAGATTATCTGAAGAATCAAAAAAAGCAGATAAATTAGATTTTGAATATAAGCGACTAAAAGAAAAAGTTGACAGTCTTCAAAAAGAAAAAGATGTGAGTATATATTAGGCATTTGGTTTTGAGCACTGCTAAAAATAAGAATGATATTTAATTCGTGTTTTGACTACATTAATTCCTTCTCTTTATAAATTCAAAAATTAGAGATTGTTTATTTTTAAATTACAGAAGATTTACATTTGTGCTGCAGAAATAGATCTAAAATAAAAGATTAAAAGAATGTTTTTACTTCCATTCTAATTTCTTTTGTATGTATTTATCTTTTCTACTACTGTTGCCTCATTTACATTGTTCTGCTCGTGACTTTCTGTGAATTTATGTAACTTTTCTGTTTTCTGTATGATTAATACAGAGGACACAATTCTTTTTGTTTAGCATACTTTGAATCTTTTAAAAGTATTTTTACTTTGTCATGATTTATGAATATTTAAAATCTTTGATCTTTTATGTTTAATAAAAAGAATGTTATTTACGTAATAAGGTACTTATTGTTAAGGATGGAGTAGACAGTTTTGTTTCTTATGTTTAACTGTGGATAGCATATTGCCTTGCACATAATAGATTTTCAGTATTGTTAAATGGAAAAAAATTGTTGTAATCTTTTTCTTCTATGATCTTTCTATAGAAATAGATCAAAAGGTAAAACATGTCCATGTTCCCTACTCTTTATCATTCTCTTAGGTAAGGCAAAGACCACTGATGAATAAACTCATAAATCTTAAAGCTAACTTTCCTTGTTTTTAATGTCCCTCCAGAGGTTAAGAACAGAGAGGGATTCTCTGAAGGAAACCATTGAAGAGCTTCGCTGTGTACAGGCCCAAGAAGGGCAGCTCACAACTCAAGGTAAAAGCATTTCAGGAGCCCAAGCAAGATTATTTATTTCTAATAGTATCAGTAAAAATATTAGATTCATTTTAAGATGATTGCACCAATAGATGAAAATGAAAAATTGGTGAAGAGGCCATGAAATTGATACAAATTTTAAACTGTTACCCAGATTTTATGGCAAATAGGCTATAGTTATGAGACCAGATTTGCTTGCCTACTTTATATTTTAATTATATTTAAATATTTGAGTTTTATTAGATCAAAAGCATGACAATTTGTTAAATAAGCTCTGTTAATAATAAACCTGGAAAGTTTCTCATTACCACTTTAAAAGTATATTAAACTTTGTAAATCAGTGATTTTTTTCCAACTGAGGTGTGGGGTGGGTATCAATCCATTAGGGACTTTTATCCAAAGTAGAAAACCGCTCTTGTCACAGAAAAGGAGCAGCACTCAGCTCCAGGTTTACCCTCTCCTGCTCTTTCGTCATCGTGCTGGGGTATGTGGGAGCCTGACTGGTGGCTAGGAGGGCTCCACAGTTTGTTCACGCCCACTCGAGTAACCAGCCCTTGGCTTTTCAGTTACCTGAAACTCGAATTTTCTTTCCCTCTGACTACAATCTCCTTTTTCTCCTCCTCATTCCTTCTACCAAACCTGCTCATTTACTTCATTTCACCTTTAACCCCACTCTGGTGTTTCTATTGATAAACTCTGGCCTCGTTTTCCAGCTTACCCAGCCTGCATATCAACTAGTATTTTAACTATGTCCTTCTCATCACCACCATCTTTCCTTAACCCTCTTGACCTATTTCTGGACCAGCTTGTCAAACCTGTAATTCAGATAGCCTAAAGTTTTTTTCTCTATTCCAAATTACCAAGGCCAGCTAAAGAAAATTATATATCTTCCTTTTTGTTTCTTTTTTTATTGAGATATAATTGATATGTAACATTATATTAGTTTCAGGTGTACAACATAATGATTCGATATTTGTATATATTGCAAAATGATCACCACAATAAGTCTAGTTAACATCTGTCACCGTACATAATTACAAATTTTTTTTTCTTCTGATGAGAACTTTTAAGATCTACTCTCTTGGCAACTTGCAAATATAAAATACAGTATTATTAACTATAGGCATCATGCTGTACATTACATCCTCATGACTTATTTATTTTATTATTGGAAGTTTGTACCGTTTGACCCCCTTCACCCATTTCACCTACCCCCCCTACCTCTGGCAACCACCAATCTGTTCTCTGTATTCTATGAGCTTGAGGTTTTTTGTTTTTCGTGTTTTGTGTTTTTTGGGGTTTTGTTATTGTTGTTTTAGATTCCACGTATAAGTGAGTATTTTGCTTTCTATGTCTGACTTATTTCACTTAGCATAATGCCCTCAAGGTCCATCATGTTGTTGCAAAGAAGATTTCCTTCTTTTTTATAGCTGAATAATGTTTCATTGTGTGTGTGTGTGTATATACCAGATTTTCTTTACCTGTTCATCCATTGGTGGACACTTAGGTTGCTTCCATGTCTTGGCTATTCTGAATAGTGCTTCAATGAACATGACGGTGCATATATCTTTTCAAGGTAGTCTTTTCATGTTCTTTGCATATATACCCAGAAGTAGAATTGCTAGATCATGTGGTAGTTCTATTTTTAATTTTTCGAGGAACCTCCATACTGGTTTCCATAGTAGCTCACCAGTTTACATTCCCACCAGCAGTGCACAAGGATTCCCTTTTCTCTATATCCTCACCAACATTTGTTATTTCTTATCTTTTTGATAATAACAATTCTAGCAATGAAACGATATCTCACTGTGGTTTTGATTTCCATTTCTCTAATGACTAGTGATGTTGAGCATCTTTTCATGTACCTGTAGGCCATTTGTGTGTCTTCTTTGGAAAAATGTCTATTCAGGTCCTCTGCCTATTTTTTAATCAGATTTTTTTTTTTTTTTTTTTCTTCTTTGGAAAAATGTCTATTCAGGTCCTCTGCCTATTTTTTAATCAGATTTTTTTTTTTTTTTTTTGCTGTTGAGTTATATGAGTTCCTCATATATTTTGGATATTAACCTGTTATCGGATATATGATTTGCAAATATCTTCTCCCATTTAGTAGGTTGCCTTTTCATTCTGTTGATGGTTTCCTTTGGCATGCAAAAGCTTTTTAGTTTGATGTAGTCCCACTTGTTTATTTTGGCTTTGGAGAAAATTATATATCTTTCTTGATTGTCTTCCCCCCAAAAAATCACTTCTAATCATAATTGGATCTTCATTGCTGCCTGGCAATCCTTTCACATGTCTCTAATCAACTGTATGTGAGTTTTTCCAAAATTTTAAGAATCTAGCCTGAACCTTAATGCTTTAACTCTCTCTCCTTTCCTGTATCATCAAGAAAAGAGAGAATATCTTATGTAAACTTCGACATTTGTTTCTTTGCTACCTATGAACCTATATATTTTAACCTTCTTTATGTATATACCCAGGACCTGGCAATTTTGCTTTAAAAATTTACCTTAATGAATTAAAGCATTATTTATAATAATGAAATTTAGAAACAACCTAAAAGTTCAGCAGTACAGGAATGGCATTCTCATTTAACTGTATGTTGTAGGGCCATTAAAAAAAATGAGGTATGGGGCCGGCCCCGTGGCTTAGCAGTTAAGTACGAGCGCTCCACTGCTGACGGCCCGGGTTCGGATCCCAGGCGCACACTGACGCACCGCTTCTCTGGCCATGCTGAGGCCGCGTCCCACATACAGCAACTAGAAGGATGTGCAACTATGACATACAACTATCAACTGTGGCTTTGGGGGGAAAAAATAAATAAATAAAATCTTAAAAAAAAAAAAATGAGGTATGTCTTAATATATGCCTGACATGAAGAGATGTGTATGTTATATCATGAAGTTAAAAAAGTAGGTGACATCATTCATGATAAACACTCTCAGCAGACTAGGAATAAGACGGAAACTTCCTCAACCTAGTAAAGGACATCTATGAAAAACCTACAGCTAACCTCATACTTAATGATGAAAGACTAAATACTTTTCCCCTAAGATCAGGAACGAGGCAAGGATGTTAACTCTTGCCACTTCTATTCACCGTGATATCAGAGGTTCTAACCAGTGCCATCAGGGAAGAAAAAGAAATAAAAGGCATCCATATTTAAAAGGAGGATATAAAAAATGATAGATTTAGTAAATGAGTTCAGCAAGGTCTCAAGATGTAAGATCAGTGTACAAGAACCAATTATATTTCTGTGTACAACCAGTGAATAATCTGAAAATGGAAGTACAATGGGATCATAAACAATACAATGCTTAGGAATAAGTTTAACAAAGAAATGCAAGACTTGTACACTAAAAACTATAAATCATTGCTAAGATAAATTAAAAATCTAAATAAATGGAGAGTCACTCCATGTTCAGGTATTGGAAAATTCACTATAGTTAAGATTGCAGTTCTCTTCATATAGGTCTAGAGATTCAATGCAATCCCAATCAAATTCTCAGCAGACTTTTTTGTAGGAATTGACAAGCTGATCCTACAATTTATATGAAAATACAAAGAAGCCAGTATAACCAAAAAAAATTTCAAAAAGGAAAAGGTTGGAGAACTTACATGTCCTGATTTCAACACTTAACTCTAAAGCTACTGTAATTGAGCAGCATGAAACTCACATAAGGATAGATATAGAGGTCAGTGTAGTACATATATCACATTAATAGAAGAAAGGAAAAAAACCACTTCTTCTCGATGCAGAAAAGGCATTTGACAAAATCCAACACCCTTTCATCATAAAAAACTCAATGAACTAGGAAGGGAACTTCTACAACATGATAAAGGCCATATATGAAAAAGCCACAGCTAACATCATATTCAATGGTGAACGACTGAAAGCTTTTCCTCTAAGATCAGGAACAAGGCAAGGATACCTACTACTGCTACTTATACACTTCTATTGCACATAGTACAGGAAGTTCTAGCCAGAGCAATTAGAGCAAAAAAAAAATCTAAATTGGAAAGAAAGAAGTAAAATTATCTCGTTTGCAGATGACATGATCTTGTATGTCAAAAACTCTAAAAAATTCCACAGAAAACCCTGTTAGAACTAATAAAATGAATTCAGCAAAATTTCAGGACACAAAATCAACCCACATAAATCAGTTATATTTCTATACACTAAGAATGAACAATCCAAAAAGGAAATTAAGAAAACAATTTCCTTTACAATAGGATCGAAAAGAAAAAATACTTGGGAATAAATTTAACCGAGGAGGCAAAAGTTTTGTACCCTGAAAACTATAAAACATTGCTAAAAGAAATTAAAGAAAACCTAAATGGAAAGATATCCCATGTTCATTTAAGACTTAATATTGTTAAGATTACAATATTAAGTGCAGTCCTTATTAAAATACCAACGGCATTTTTTGCAGAAATAGAAAAACCCATCCTAAAATCCATGGTGAATCTCAAGGGACTCCGAATAGCCAAAACAATCTTGAAAAAGAAGAAAAAAGTTGGAGGACTCACACTTTCTAATTTCAAAACTTCATATACAGTTACAATAATCAAAACAGTGTGGTATAGGCATTAAGGACAGATATATAGACCAATGGAATAGAATAGAGAGCCCAGAAATAAACCCTCATATATTTGGTCAACTGATTTTCAACAAGAGTGTCAAGACCATTCAATGGGGGAAAGGACAGTTTTTTCAACAAATTGTGCTGGGAAAAACTGGATATCTACATCCAAAACCATGAAGTTGAACTCTTACACCATATACAAAAATGAACTCAAAATGGGTCAAAGACCTAAATGGAAAGGCTAAAACTATAAAACTTTTAGAAGAAAACATAGAGGAAAATTGTCATGACATTGGATTTGGTTATGATTCCTTGGAATTGATACCAAAAACACAGACAACAAAAGAAAAAGTAGATAAATTGGACTTCATCAAAATGAAAAAGTTTTCTGTATCACAAGATACTATCAACAGAGTAAAAAGGCAAACCATGGAATGGTTGAAAATATTTGCAAATCACAAATCTGATAAGGGATTAATATCTAGAATAAATAAAGAACATCTACACCTCAACAACAAAAAACAACTCAGTTCACAAATGACTTGAATAGACATTTCTCCAAAGTGGATATACAAATGGCCAATAAGCACATGAAAAGATGCTCAATATCCTTAGTCATTAGAGAAATGCAAATCAAAACCACAATGAGATACCACTTCACACCCATTAGGATCGCTATTGCCAAAAAAGAAAAATAAGTGTTGTTGAGGATGTGGAGAAATTGGAACCCTTCTGCCTTGCTAGTGGGAATGTAAAATGGGGTGGAAGAGTTTGGTGGTTCTTCAAAAAGTTAAACATAAAATTACCATATGATTGAGCAATTCCATTCCTGGGTATATACCCAAATGAATTCAAAGCAAGGACTCAACCAGATACTAGCATACCAGTGTTCATAGCAGCATTATTCACAATAGCAAAAGATGGGAACAACCCAAGTGTCCATTGACAGATGAATGGATAAAGAAAATGTATATACACACAATGGAGTATTATGTGACCATAAAAAAGAATGAAGTTCTGATAAGTGCTGCAATATAGACGAATTTTCAAAATATTAAGTGAAGTAAGCCATACACAAAAGGATGAATATTGGTATGATTCCACTTATGTGAGGTGTCTAGAATGGGCAAATTTATTGAGACAGACAGAAAGTAGAATAAAGGTTATAAAGGGCTAAGGGAGGGCCGGCCCCATGGCTTAGCGGTTAAGTGCATACACTCCGCTGCTGGCGGCCCAGGTTCGGATCCCGGGCGCGCACCAACGCATTGCTTCTCCGGCCATGCTGAGGCTGCGTCCCACATACAGCAACTAGAAGGATGTGCAGCTATGACATACAACTATATACTGGGGCTTTGGGGGGAAAATAAATAAATAAAATCTAAATAAATAAATAAAGGGCTAAGGGAGAAAGGAATGGGGAGTTATTGCTTAATGGTTATGGAATTTATGTTTTGGGTGATGAGTTTTGGAGACAGAGAGTGGTGATGGTTCCGCAATGTAGTAAATGTACTTACTGTCGCTCAATTGTACACTTAAAAATTGTTCAAATGGTATAATAATAATGTAAGCCAACTCTGACACGGTCTTTTACTCAACTAAAACAGAGATTTTAGCTGTTAAAATTAATGCTCAAAGTAGGCTTTCATATAGAAACTAAAGGAGATGGTTGTGTTCTCTCTTAGGCTTGCATTCATGTTTGTATATTTATAGGGTTAATGCCTCTGGGAAGTCAAGAATCTTCAGACAGTCTGGCAGCAGAGATTGTTACACCTGAAATCAGGTAAGGAGATCATGAAGTTTACAGTCACACTGCACTAACACTTTGAACATGAACTCAGTATTAAGTGTCCATGTTTTCAGCACGTTAGAAGCTCCTTCAGCTGGCCCAAGAGACTTGATTTTTGACTTCGGTAGGACAGTGTTTCACACGTACATAGCAAACTTAGTATATCTGTGCTTGGGCATTCTTAACAGACACTTAGCAATGAAACCACTTGGCCCAAAGACAAAGCTTATGCTTAGCCATCAGCCTGCTAAATAATTAGTCGCTAAGATTTATCTATTAACTACATGGAATGGTCTGGGAAAGATAGAATGCAGTAGACAAGAGGAAATATCTCCCTCTCACTTACTCTTCCCTCAGTAGTACCTTACATTTTTATTTAGTCATAGTAGTTTAAAAATTCCACTTATTTCAATATATACCTGGCTCTATGTATAAGAATGAAAAATTGTGTGTATGGGGGATGGGGTAGAGGCACCAAGTGTCCGGCAGAAGGAGAATGATTGCTCCTGAAGATTGCTTTCACTTTCTTTGGGTATATTTGCCCACTTTTTAAATTGACCCTGGCCTTGATTCTTCATAACATCCTTGAGGGTATTAAATAAAATAAAGGTTGTGTAAGAGTTGTATAAACTGTGCAAGTTACAGTAAGCATTCAAATACTTGTTGAATAAATGAAGACAATATATTGTTGTTGGCATTTATTTAAGAAGGACAGACAGGGGCTGGCCCCATGGCTTAGCAGTTAAGTGCGCGTGCTCCACTACTGGCGGCCCGGGTTCGGATCCCGGGCGCGCACCAACACACTGCTTCTTCCGCCATGCTGAGGCTGCGTCCCACATATAGCAACTAGAAGGATGTGCAACTATGACATACAACTGTCTGCTGGCGCTTTGGGGGAAAAAAAGGAGGAGGATTGGCAATAGATGTTAGCTCAGAGCCAGTCTTCCTCAGCAAAAAGAGGAGGATTAGCATAGATGTTAGCTTAGAGCTGATCTCCCTCACAAAAAAAAATAAAATAAAATAAAATAAATAAATAAATAAAAAAGATGAGCATAAAGCAATACCAACTCTGGAAGCGTCGTGTGTACCTTTTACTTTTCTGCCATCTGCATGTGGTACTTTATTATTGGACCAATAAGATTTGTTGAATGAATGAACACTTATTGCTAATGAATATTTATAAATAAATGGTTATATCCAAAAAAACAATTTTTTTTTTTTTTGGGGGAGGAAGATCGGCCCTGAGCTAACATCTGCCAATCCTCCTCTTTTGCTGAGGAAGACTGGCCCTGGGCTAACATCCATGCCCATCTTCCTCCACTTTATATGGGACGCCGCCACAGTATGGCTTGACAAGTGGTGCATTGGTGGGCGCCCGGGATCCGAACTGGCGAACCCGGGCTGCCACAGCAGAGCGGGCCAGCCCCCCAAAAACCAATTTTTAAGGAAGATTATAGGTAATGCAGTTGGATTTTTAAACAGAGGAAAAAGAACAAGGATAAAGATTCAACAAATAAAGTGGCTTTTTGAGTATGACTCAGTACAAATTAAAATATACTCTGTGTCCAGAAGAGAGCTATCAAGAAAATGAAATGGTAAAAGGGATGAAAAATTTGCAACGGATGTCATAGACACTGGGGTAATATTCTTAATACATAATGAAATTTGCCTGTCAGATTTGCAAAAGTTTATTATAAGTGATAATTTTCACTGAGGTTAAGGGTGTGGAGAAATTGGAAACCTCATAAACCAGGAGTAAAAGATTAAAGTGGTACAACTTTTTTTTAATTATTAATTTTTAAAAATTGAGATATAATTGACATAACATTGTATTAGTTTTAGGTGTACAATATAATGATTTGATATATGTATATATTGTGAAATGATTACCATAATAATTTTAGTTAATATCCATCACCACAGGTAATTACAAATTTTTTTTTCTTGTGGTACAACTTTTCTTTTGAGCAGTTTCGCAGAATGTGTATATTGTCTAAAAAAAATGCTTATCTTTTGCCTCAAAAATTACTTTTCTGGGAATTAATCTTAAGGAAATAACCAAAGATATACACAAAGCTCATCATTATTAACACGTTAAAGCTCATAATTGGTAACAATAAATGCCTAATAATTGGGTATTAAATAGTGATTCATCTATGTATTTTAACATGTCATTTAAAATAAAGTATAATATTTAATGGTATGAAAAGATTGTGAAAATTTAAGTGTAAATAGCAGAAATCAATGTAACATGTACAGTGTGATCCATTTTTAAAAGTGTTTGCATGTGTGTACATATGCATAGAATTAGAAGGCTATAGTTCAGCAGTAATTATTTTGTACCATTGGGTTATGAAGAGTTTATATTTTCTTCTCATTCTTTTTTTTCCCTATGAGTGTGTTTTACATTGTAATGTAATTTTGTAATTAATTACAATGTAATGTAATTAATTACATTGAAATTGAAAAATATGATAAAGTCGTCATTGTCCATATACAAAATATATCAAGTTCTATATAATTGCGTGAGTTGGACCACAGATTTGACTCTCGTCTTTTCAGTAGCAAAAGTAAAAGTACTTTATAAGATGTATGATGTTTACAAAATAAGAGCAGACTGTTTTCTGTGTTTATTAGTTTGTTTTTGTTTTCTTTTTCCATGAGAAACAGAGCTTTTCATAGTGTCTGGTATGGATAGTAATCTTCAAGGGGCCATCTAAAGATGACCCTATGTAAAGAATGAATTATATCTTCAACAAGTATATCTTCAGTTATTTCTGTAAATGAGTTGATAGTCATTTATATCATCCCTGCAGTAAATGTGGTAGCAAGTTTTGTGTTGCTTTTAACATCCGTCTCTGTAAGCTTTTGGCATAACACAAAGAGCCCAAAACAATAACTTGGCTCTGATAATCTGGCTTGTTAGAGGATACAATTTTACATATCTGTAGGACTGGGTGGACTGCATATCTTGAAGGCATTCTTCATTGAATATTATCATTTTCCACCAAATGATTGGTAATTTAAGAGCATAGCATTAGAGATCTTGGTGTTTTGATGAGAACCAAAGAACAAATATATAAATTGATTCATAGCTTAAATATTTAAATCAAAAAGAAAGTCGGATTTTGAAACCTCTTTCATTACAAATCATGATATTTAAAGATTCTGTATCTTCAGATTATTTATTCTAAAGTAGTTACTTAAGACTTAAAATATAATGTCTTAGCCAGTGACAACAGGAGCTACGTTTTTTGCAGATACTTTGTTTCCATTTCTGTTCTTTGTGTTAAATCTGTAACTGTGTGTGGCTGGATTTTGATAACTATATTGTATTAATGTACCAGATAATCAGTTTTTCTTTGCTCACTCAGGGAGAAACTTATTCGCCTTCAGCATGAGAATAAGATGTTAAAACTTAACCAAGAGGGTTCAGACAATGAAAAAATTGCCTTACTGCAGAGCCTTCTAGATGATGCAAATCTGCGCAAGAATGAACTGGAGACAGAGAATAGGTAGGAATATATACAGGAGGCAGCATTTAGCCCCACAGGTTTTCTATATTTGTCTTGATTTTGATTCCCTTAAACAGAGGTTTGAATTGTATTTTGAAAAGTGATAATGCAGGGCTGGCCCTGTGGCTTAGCGGTTAAGTGCGCGCGCTCCGCTGCTGGCAGCCCGGGTTCGGATCCTGGGCGCGCACCGACGCACCACTCGTCTGGCCATGCTGGGGCCGCGTCCCGCATGCAGCAACTAGAAGGATGTGCAGCTGTGACATACAACTATCTACTGGGGCTTTGGGGGAAAAAAATAAAATAAATAAAATTTAAAAAAAAAAAAAAGAAAGGTGATAATGTGTTATCCCATTTCCTTTTAAGAGTATTTTAATCCGTTTCTCCACTTATGGACAGACTTGCCAAAAAGTATCATGCCTCTTTATGATAACATTTTCCACTTTATTTTTTCAAGCAAAGTGATAACAAAGCCCTACCATTTTCCCTTTCTAATCACTAATTGAAACTAGAGGATTGAAAGAAAATGACCGTTACTTCACAATCTTCCACAACAATTTCAATTCATGGTCATTATCACATTAATGAAGTTTACCCTGTTTTTATAAGCTAATATTTCAGAGGATTGATTGATGTGAGGAAAATAGTAGGATCCATCATAATTGAGTTGACAGAGCATTTTTTTTTTAAATCTGTTATTTCTTGAGACCCTAAAAGGAAATTGTTCATCTTATGAACAATTCAATTATTTTGAGAATTTAGAATCTGCAAATTTAACAAGAAAATCACTTTTCTGTTTGTAAGTTTTCAGTGTTGGCGTTACGCAGTCATTCAAAGCTACTTTAAAAGCAGTCGCCTACTCTTGCAAGGGTTACTTTTAACTTTGTTGGGATAATTTTTTGTTTTTTTTCCTTTTTGGAAATGTTTCTTAGACACCAAACATGTGGTGTCTTTTCTTTTTTTTTAGTGCTGTGATATTCTGTAATTTTTGAGGAATTTGGCATTTTTATTTATAGTTTCATAGTTTGCCTGATATCACTGATTGTTTGTTTATTATGCCTGATTGATGTGGCATTTCCCAGGTGTGAGTCAATCTTGTGAGTCAGAATTGTTAAGACAATTCACGTATCCTACTTTTCCTCCTGTAGCTCTAGTTTTTAAAGCTACTCAGGGAGAACCAGCCAACAGTATAAATAAGAGGGCAATTATTAGAGCATAATTAAGCATAAACAGGAGGAAATTTTTATATCAATTCTAAGGTACATAGAGAATGAATACTTTTTAAAAATACTTAGAAAAAGTGGAAAATGAGAAGGAGAGGAAGAGGAGTTGTAGATAAGAGCTGTCAGTCATTCAGTCGTGCAGTCCGCATGGTGAGAGCACCATGCTCACCTCCTCATCCTTTGCTCTGGGCTGCTTTTTAGCCATCTCAGTCAGCCTCTCCCTACCCTAATTTTTGTTCAGTGAATTAACACCACTTCTTTTATAATGCTTTGCATTGTTTCTCACAAGTTTTACAGCTATTGCTTTTTCTCATCAGAAACAGAACAGCTAGTTGTCATTTATACGGTACTCACGTAGGTAGATGACTGATCACCTCCCAAGTCTCTGTGTTATTTACAGCTGTCTACAACTTAGCATTGTGTTTGTTTCTTAAATTATGACACTCATGATAACTTCTTTTTAGACTATACATCTATGACCTATAACTAATAATAGCAGCTAACATTTGTTAAGCTCCTGTTTGTTCTAGACATTGTGGTAAGTATTTTATGTATGTGGTCTTTGTTAAGTTTTTCAGATGAGGGAATTTGGGCATTTTACATATGCGGTCTTTGTTAAGTTTTACAGATGAGGGAATTTGAGCGTTTTACATATGTGGTCTTTGTTAAGTTTTACAGATGAAGGAATCTGGGCATTTTACATATGTGGTCTTACTTTGTTTGGTTTTACAGATGAGGGAAGTTGGGCTCAGACACAGGTTACCTGACTCCAAAGCTTCTACCTAACCAATACCCTCTTTCTTGCCAATTTATCCTCTGCCGTGTGTGTAAAACATTTATTTTTTTCCTGCCTACCTCTTCACAGGATGCTTTTTCTCTTAAGTAAATTACCCTAAGTTTGTTCTTATTGAATTTAATAAGTATTTACACTACCTTGTCTCTAAGGTAATCTCTTTTAGTAGTTTACAGCACTGGACTAGCATCAGGAAACCTGAGTTTTAATCCCACTGAGTCTTTTAATTGTGTGACCTTAAATACAATTTGCTCACCTCCCATATATCATCTGTTAGAAGGAAAGGTTTGTAGGAAACCTCCAAAGTCCTTTCCATTTAGTTTTCCCAATGAGTTAGCATTTTTTTTTAATCTGTAATACCTGCTGACCCTCAAACAATATGAGCAGAAGCATGAAGGGTTGAGAGGAGAGCCGTATCAGAACGGCTCAGGGAGTTTTCTCAAAGTACACGTGATCTTGTTCCCTTACCTCTCAGAGCAGATCGTGATCTCAAGTTCACCCTCTCCCTACACCCCTCAGGCAACTATACATAATTAGACTTTGATTAAAATGTTAGCTAACTAAACTCCTGAACAGGGAGAAAGAAGACACAGGCATTTATAGAGTACCTGCTATGTGCAGGTATTGTGCTAGACACACTTTATATATTATCTCAGTCCCTTAAACAAGCCCATGAGGGTGGGCATTATAATCCTTATTTATTTTGTAGATGAACTTTTTTCATATATATTTACATGTATTTGTATAGCTTCATACTTGTGTGTGTGTGTGTGCACTTCACACTTTGACAGTTATATTACTGTGTTTGCTTGTCCATTCCCCATCACTGGGCTTTTGAGTTGTTTTCAGATCCTTCCAAGGAACATCTTGGTATGGTCTGATTACATTTTATGACATTTACGATGGCCTCCACCTAGTAGGGTTACAATATTTGTTGACTAAATAATTTCAAAAATGGCTAAGATGGATAGTTGAAATAGTCTTATAGTTTGATATATATTCCCATATTGCTTTCTGAAAAGATTGAACAAAGTTACAATGTCACTAGTAATATTTTTATTTACCTCTGTCTTCATATTAAATATGGATCTATTCAGATAATTCTTTCACTGTTGGAAAAAGCACTCAGATTTTCTATTCCTTGATGTGAAAACATCAGTTATTATTATAGATTTGATTGCATTTTTACTATAATTCTCACTAAATTGTAGAACCTAGAAGGCTTATGATAAGAATTTCTTATAACTTGTTGAATAAAAAAATTTCTTATTGAACTTTCTGGCTGTTTGAATTCTAAATGCTCATTGCCCTGTTTTGTCCTTAATTTGAGGCAGTCTGGCTTTTACTATCTTTTCACTAAAACATTACTTACTAAAATAACCCGTCATCTCTTAAATGGTCAATCCTATGGGAGCATTCAAGACTTTATCTTTCCTCATTTCTCTACTGCAGTCAAGCATCGCTTATCGACAGAGATAGGTTCTGAGAAATGCATTGTTAGACGATGTCATCGTTGTGCGAACATCATAGAGTGTACTTACACGAACCTAGATGCTATAGCCTACTACACACCTAGGTTACATGGTACTAATCTTATGGGACCACTGTCATTTGTATATGTGGTCCATTGTTTACCTAAATGTTGTTATGCAGCACATTACTGTATATTGATTGTTGTTGATCATTTCCCTCTTCAGACTTTTTTTTTTATTTCAGTAACATCCCTCTCTTATGTTTTTCTTAGTTCTCTGATTATTCTCCAGAGTGAGGTTCTTCTTTCTATCCTTCGGTTGGTAATCTGCCATGGACTGTCTTCGTTCCTCTTCCACTCGTCCTCACGTTCTTTCTAATCAATATTATTTATGCTCATGGCTTCAGTTAATTCCAGATGGCTCCCAAATCTGTATGTTCAATTCAGACTTCTCTCTGTGCTTCCAATGCAGATACCTATTTGACAGATATCTCTAGGCACTTCATTTTCAACAAATACAAAGTGAGATTCTTTATATTCCTTTCTCAATAAATGGTTCTCAGTAGCTCAAACCAAAATCCTAAGTGTTATTTTTTTATTGCTTGTGTTCTTTTGCTCTTTCAATATATTTCCTCCTCTGTTCCCTTCTATTTCAGGCATATTTAGTAATAATTGTAATAGCCTCCTCCTAGTCTTCATGCCTGCTCTTTGACCTTTTTTAATACTATCTTCCACTCTCAAACCAAGGTGATCTTTCTAAAATACTGTCTAATCGTGTTTCTCCCTTCTTGCAATCCTTCAACATCACTCAGACCTAGGTAACCAAACGGTCTCCTGGTTGATGAGTGTTGTGTCATAATACCCTAGAGAATTTATGAAGATTGAGCTCCAGAATCAGCGTTATTAAAGGCTGGCTGAGTTAATTCCAGTTCCAGCCAAAATTTAGAAAGCCAGATTATTGGATAAGTTCCACATACTTTTGCATTTCACACAAGGTTATACCCGACCTCTCCTTTTCTCCTCTGGTTTCCTCTCCAGTCATTCTTCCCCTCATAACTTATTCCGCAGTCATACCATTCCTGAACTCACTGTACCCTCTTGTTTTTCTGTGCACTTCGGACATGCTGAATTCTCTGTCTTGGATCCCCTTTGCACCATTATAACCCCATAAATATTTTATTTATTGTTCTAGTCACAATTCAAGTCAAGCCTATCCTGACTCCTCCACACAGTTAGGTGCAGTTCTGGCTCGTTGAGCAGTCGTCATTCCTTTTGTATGCCTCTGTGCACTACGTTGAAGTATTTATCTTGTATTTTCTTTGTTTACATTTTGCCTCCCCACTAAATTCCTTGAGTGCAGAGATCTTTTAGCGCTAGTGCTGAGCATAGTACCTAACACATAGTTTGAATAAACATATATTAAAGTGAATTTCAGATAAATACATTTGCATAAGTACACCAGTTCAAAAAATGTGTCCACCCGAACACTACCTTGGAAATCGTCATAGAAATTTCAAGCAATACGAAAAATCAGAAAAGTGAGCTACTGCCACTGTAACATGAGGCTTTGTTTTGCTAATTATACTGTCTCTCTAACCAGTATGACAACCTAAGGAAAAGGGCCTAAGTTAAGTCAGCACTTGGAAAATTAATGTACATTTGATTTCTAGGCTGGTGAATCAAAGACTTCTGGAAGTACAGTCACAAGTCGAAGAATTGCAAAAATCTTTACAAGATCAAGGATCAAAAGCAGAAGATGTAAGTTTTAATGTGTACCAACCATGTTCCAACAGTTTCACAGTGTTAAGAAAAGCTATAACTTTTATTTTTTATTCGGTAGTCTCTAGCAAAATAATTTATAATTATCTTGGTTATAGAAAAGAAACAATGTTTTCCTTTTACTAACGTTTCTTATAAAAAGGAGCAGACGGTGCTTTATTCTGTCTTTCAGATTGACTCTGCCGGGAATTAGAAGTTCATTTGTAATTATCAGCTAAGGAATTAATTAAGGCTTTGTGTTTTAAATGTGTTCAACTCAGTATTCCAAGTATAGGGTTTTTGGTTCAAAAAATGTTGGTTAGATACTTCGCCTGTTCAAGTAGACATTTTTGATATAAAATTGATATTTAAGAAAATAATGCCATTGCTAGAACCCCACCATCTCTAAATTTCTGAATCTCTCTTACTATCCCCCCCACCACACACACACACTCAAATTAAGTTCACTGACCTTTTTTTATATTCCTTTAGCATACTGCATATCTGTCATAGCCCTGCCTGCTTGGCTGGCACACTCCAATCTAGAATATGGTAAATGCGTTGAGCCAGGAGCTAGGTCTTCATCTCCTCATGCTCATCGTCTATCACAGTGCTTGTGTAGCACATAGTAGTCAGTCAATCTCTGATAAAAGTGTAAGTAAATCATATTTTGCAAACCCTTTACATTTAATGTAATTTAATTTACAGTCGACAACAGATCTGCGAGTATAAAGTGCTCAAAAATATTTGTAAAGAGGGGAAAAAAACGAAATTTTAGTGACCAATCTTTGCTTCACCCAGTTGTTTTTTTTCTTTTTATTGGCAGTGTAATTTGCTATGAACCTCTGGCCTTTGAGTACAAACCTATTTTGTTGTTTCCATTGATAGAGTCATTTGGGGGATCACTGTTAAAACTATAGCTATATCTAGTTTCATCCAGCCTTATTAACATAAGAGGGTATAAAAACAAAAGACATCAAAGAAGCTCATCAGTGACCTAATTTTGTGAGTTTCTTAAGCATAGATCTAGCTTATATTGGCAGCATGCTCTGCTTTCTAAGATCAGTGATTTTAGTTTATCCTTTAATTAATGTGTTGGTAGTTCTTAGATTCCCAGATTGAGTCCCAGTTCCTAAAATTGTCACCAACATTTAAACTATCTTATTCCCTTATTAAATTGTCCTAGTTTACTTTTTAAACGTATTTTTATCCAGAGGCTAAATCACAAAGAGGTGAAGCAAAAGCACCTTGAATGCATTAAAATATTAGTAAGCTAACTAAGAGTATCTTAGAGATGAACCAAAGGGTCACGTTTCTTAGTTTGGTAAAATCAGTAGGTCCCTTAAACTGAGATGAATGTACACTTCGTTTTAGTCTCTAAAACTTTGAGGAGACTTTTTGTTGATTTGTTATGGTAAAGAGGGGAAGGGCGTATGGTACATGGGAAGTAAAATGGCAGAACATGAGTATCGGCTCAACCTTAGTGTTACAGCAATAACCGTTGTACTGATTCTCTTACTTCTACTCAAACATACATAATGGAATTTAGTTTGTAAAGGATATTTTTGCATAACCTGATTAGGTATTACTGTGGTAATCAAATCTAATTAGTATGCTGTGTGCCATTAGTTTAAAAGAACATATTTCAGAAGTGAGATGCCAGCCCTATAAAGTACTATTTGGGTAAATTAGTCAGTTTATTTGACTGTCCAGATGCTAATGAGCTATCTTGCTCTAAGTTCTTGGAAGTTGTCTCAGAGCTTTTTTCTACATATAGAAAAGATTCAGGTAGAAACTTTTCCTGATGATATGCCTCAAAGTGGTTTGGAGAAGTAAATTAGGGTGGTACAGGATATGTGGTTCTTTCCCCCAGCAGATTTTTGATGTTTTTGTCTTCTCTCTTTCACTAACCTACAGGGTTGCATCTCAGGAGTATGTCATACTTAGAACAACCTGCCAAATAAATGGAATTGGTCCCCCTGAAGAACCACATAATCTCTGTCTATTTCTGTTATCAAAAGCACAGTCCTTTCATGTGACCTTAAGTCAGAATAGAATGGTTTGCACATTTTTATTATTATTTTTATGTCATTTATTTTTAGCATGGAAGCAGAAAAGCATTGTTATATCCAGTGATATGGATAATTTGAGCTAGCCACAGTGTATAAAACTCCAGAGAACAAGACAGGATGAGAACATAGAAGAAAGAAAAATGTATATTTTTGAAAAAAAATGCATATCTTTTACTTCTGTTCATGAATTACTAAATCGTTCCTTCTATTGGCTGCTATGTTTGCTTCATACTAATATGTCCTCTCTGTCTCTTGGCATGGTTTCTGCTCAAGGCTATTGTAAGTATGGCTTCCTATTCATTTCTATGTATCGAGCAGTTTTTTTTATTTATACATTATCTGCCGTCATAGTTGATGGTATTGAAATTTTAAGTTATGGGAATTTTACGCAAAATGAATATACCAATATTACTGGCCTTATAGGTTTGTGTATGCCCTTTATGGTTAAGCTACTTAAAGAATATCAAAACTTAAGACAGACTAAAGAGAACTCTGCTCTTGTTTTTTTTTTTTTTTTTTTCCATCCCACTCTACCCCATTGTTATAATTAGTTTGTTTTAAAAATTATTTTGGGGCCAACCCCATGGCTTAGGGGTTAGGTGCGCACGCT